CCCCCCCAGTCATTGGAATTGACTGACTTGGGGGAAGAGGCAGGCTCCGGCGAAGAAGGAGCCGGCCCGTCGGAAAGATCTAGAGAAACAGGAATTCCTTCAGACATGGCAAGAATGGAGAAAAGGGGGATATTTGGTGATGGAGCAGAGTAGAGGCCAGGGGGACTTATAAATAAGCCAGGGCGAAGGAACCGAAGAGGCGGTCAAGTCTCGAGGCAGCCGAACCGATAAAGCAGCCTTGAGCCGCGCGAAGGTCCAATCAGAAACGGTGAAGGGCATTGGATCAATTGGGCGGCACGATGGCCAATCCAGGGATTGAGCCCGGGCAGGTAAACGGGCCGGGACTAGGAGTTGGGCCCAAACTAAAACATACATGTTAACCAGCTAAATCAAAAAAGAGAGTGCTGAAGTAAAGCGCCAAAGAGAGAAAACACATGGCGAATCTAGAAAATTAAATAACATAGGAGCATTGTATCAAAACGACAAATCATTCCGAAGGAAAAGAGAGAGGCAAGTGTTGGTAAAGCTATGGGGGAACAATGGGGGATTTAGACGGCCGAGCCGGAGGGTCCACCCGCTTTGGACATGGCTAGGCTGGCCCCTGGATTCTGGTCGCTCTGACCACCTTCCACTTCTTCTTCTTCCTCCTCTTCCGACGCACTCGAGCTCCCCCCGTCCATATAGGGACTGGGGTCGAACTCGGCCAAGGAGCGGCAGGGAGGAGGGAAGCCAAGGTCAGGGAGAGAGAATCCTTTAGGGAGTTGGGCCAGCCTGTTGTGGAAGACCTGTTGGGCATGGAAGAGTCTGCAATTGAAGGACTTGGTTCCCTCCTTGACCATCCATTGGGCCCCAGGTTCAGTTTTGAGCCAAGCGGCCGTTAGTTCTTCCATCCGCTCCATTGCGACTACCGTGAAGTCAGGAGAGGACTTGAAGGATTCTACCGCTCCCTCTGCATGGCGGACCCGATCGCTCCTCTCCACCTCCAGCTGCTGGATCAGATCAGATTTCTCCCCTTCCAGCTCGACCACTCGAGCAGAAACAGATTCTACCTCCAAGGACAAGGAGGCCTTGTCTGCCTCAAGGGCGACGCAGCGGTTCTCCTGGGAAGCTTTCTCCACAGTAAGCGCCGCGCAGCGATTTTCTTTCTCCTCCAACTCCCTGGTGAGTCGGGCGACCTCCTCCTGCAGCTCCTTCTGCTTGGCCTCGGCTGCTTTCATCACCTCGTCCGCG